CTTTTCATGTATGTCTAACAGATATTATAGTTCATCTTTACCACTAATGACACCATGGAAAGTAACCAAGTAATTTTATGTGTCTACTTTAAGCCTTCCTCCTTGCTTGTTTATAGTGTAGAGCTAAAACTGTAGTTCTCATAGGTTTTCATATTAAGTTTCTCATTTACACTAGTTATGGTTTAAACAAGGGGCTTATGATTATAGTATGTCCTCACTAAAATAAGAATGAATTCAAGTTTAGATGTTAGCAAAGATGATATTTTGGAATATGTAATGTACTTAATTGTTAGGTTATTACTGCTAACATTAACACTGAATGCTATATTATTTCTTAAATCTGTGAATGCTTTATTATTAAATCAGCCGTCACTTTTTAGTCTTAGAACATATTTGTATTCAGGGGTCAGTTTTACGGTGAAAAAATGGAACTTGTTAACATTTTTGTTTGGGAAGTGATTTAAATTTTTTTTTTTAATTGAGCTTTTAAAAAATTCAGTTAATTCAGCAAGGTCAAAGCTACAGAGTTTTTTACAGCCAGCCAAGACCATACTCGAAGCTGACTACAAGGTTTATGAATTTTAAGTTGTTTCCAGCCCCCATTGGAAGATGCTACATTTCTTTAGAATATGAAGGGATGTGTAAAAGACCCTTGCATTTACTGAATTTAATACCTATGTTAGAAGTCTAATTTTTTACTTTAAGTAGCCCTACAGATCAGTAGTTCAAAGCATGTGCCCAGAATTCAAAGTTGTTTAACTTCTTAACTAAGAACATCTATTTTTAGTGTTTGTGGTTAAAGTTTAGCAAAATTGTATTCACTGTTTAATAGTTTCTGTCCCTGTATTTGCTTTATGCATCAATGACAATATATAAGTTTTGAGATGTAACTGCACTGAGTTTCTGCAAATGCTCAAACAGGATGATCTTTGCATAAATTGCATGGATATATTTTAGAAGTCCTAAATAGGTTGTGCCAAGAAAAATGATTTGTCCAACAATTTAGTGTTGAAACTTGCTCTTCGGAGAAAGCTACCTTCCCATTCATTCCACATTTAGACGTATGGGGGGAGGACTTCTGAAATGCACACTCTGTAGATGTATTTTGCATGATGTTGTCAAAAAGTCCTTCTAGTACTAACTGTGTTCTATGGGTAGGATGCTTCACGCTTCTCCTATATTGTGTAAATTTGTAAAAATTCTGAAATAATTATCACTTTACTGTAAACTTTCTTACATGGTCTTAAGTTGAGATGACAGTTTGTCACTTAGCCATCTACCTCTGAATCTCTAGGCAGTTATACCAAAACCACGTTTTTAATTCTGCTGTGTATGAATGCAGTTGTGATTCTGGTATCGAAAAGGTAGATCAAGCAGGATTCAAATGTTTATGCAGTTAAAAAGAAATAAAAAGCTAGTGTAAGCATTTATAGTGGTTGAGAGAAGTTAACTATCTGCTCTGGGGAAAAAATTAGCATTATGTTGTGACATTCCACTGAGATACGGCCCTTCTGACGCAGCGAGAGTTCACTTGCATCTTAGCATAGGACTGATGAGCCACAGAGGTGAGGGAAATGCAAAATATTTTACAGGAGTTCAGCCTTGACAAAAGGGACTTTTGGAGTCAGGATTATACAGAACTTGTATTAACATATATGCTTGTGTATCAATGCGTTTGTACTACTAATTATCTTTAGTTCCATTATTTCAATACTGTTGATAAGCAGTTTTCTTCTAAAACAACTTGGAACTACCTTTAAAACAACATGGAAATAGCTCTAATTCTTGGGACTATTTCCGTGTTATTTTAAAAGTAGTTCCAGGTTGTTCTAGAAGGTAACTGCTTATCAGCTGTGTTGAAGTAATGGAACTAAAGACAATCCCAAGGATTAGGACTATTTCCACGTGCATGGAAAACTATCCAAAACAATCACGTTCAGTGGTAGTACTTTTCATGCTTGTCCCAAAGATCAAGGAAAATCACAGTGGAACTTTTCTAATTGAGTAGAGCATGCTGTAGTAGAACTGTCCTCTTTCAAACCGCTGTGGATTTTTTTTCTACTGCAGAACTTTCTAGAAAATCTTTGCTGATGTGACCTACATTATTGAAATACTTTCAAGTTCTGCTTTGAAAGGAAAGCTTCATATTTGCATAGATGGTAACTGTGCTCTTTAAAGATGCTGTACACATTTGGGGAGCACAAAGCCGTGTTTTAGCATTATAAAGCCTAGTTGCACAAAAGTTTAAAATGAACCTTGTACTCAGAGTGACTTACTCCTTTTGAGGTAGTTAAATTTCAGATAATGCTGCTTTATAGTATGTAGTTCATTAGTGTGAATTGGAATAGACGTTAAAAGTTTGAAGCATTGATTACCTATTATTATCAAACTCACAAGTGGGTAGTGTGATGTGGGTAGCAAGACAGCAGAATACCATTCTCATATTTAAATCCTGCTTTACTTTTGTGTTTTCACAACATTTGTATGTTGTGTGGTGCATGCCTATTGCATGTTTCCACTGCCAGAAATGAAATAATAAAATTCAGAGAAACAAACCTCACATTTAACTTTGTGGACATGAACTTTCTAAGGTGTAAAGAGGATGGGAAAAGTTTACTATTTCTGCTTCCTGCAGCGCAAGACCTTTCACTTGGGATACACAGAACTTGCAAACCAGAATGATGCAAGGGTGAATTTACAATCATTGCACCACGTCAGCCAGTGGAGCAGTTTACAAATTAATCACAAATGCATGTTACATGTTTTACTCTTCCATTTCTCTATAAGAGCCACGACTAAGTGGGCCAGTTTTAGGAATTAACCGTGATGGAGCCCTTTCTTACAGGCTTCTGCTCTCCAGAGCAAAGTCAAGTCTACAGTAATGACTATTTGCCACAGTCATGTGTTATCTCAACATATATGTATAGAGGAATGACCAAAAAATAAATAAGAAAATCTTATTTAGTGAGCCTGTAACAGTGTCACACATACAGTTCAGTCCAGTTTTTACCAATACTAATTGTTTTCCCCTGTCAGCTACGGAGGTAGCAAAGCATGTTTTCTGTCTACTCACCATTGGTTTTTTCAAGAGCAGTTACTACCTACCAAGTACTGACTTCAGCTGAATTTAAGACTTCATTAAAAATCCTGATGAGATACCTTCTGAATGCTAGGGGATGGCAGGGAACAGATCCAGCTTTCTCACTGCTCACGCTTTCAATATGAAGCAAGTTTGCTATGGTAAGCAGGTTCTTTTCATTGTGGTGTTGAGAAACAAATCTGCAAGGGCATGGAAGCAGATCAGTCACTTCAGTTTCATTCTGCTGCTTCTCAGGACAGCCAGAGAACTGAATGAAAGCCAACCAGTCCCAAAATAAGGCTGCTGTGAACTAAAATAGTAGCAGTGGCACTCAAACGGGGCTGAAGATCACCTCGCAAAGCGTCAGTGGTGTTTGGTCCAGGACACGACAGGAGACAAGAGAAACCTACTTTTTAAATTTATCAGTAAAATTATTGAAGGGCTTCCAAAAAGAAAGTAAAGGATTCAGTCAAATGAACATAGCACATTGCTTACCCAACAGGAAGCCATTACTCTTTATAATTGTGAGAGAGCAGGTAAAAAAGGCTTCTCCCTCTTCATCCCAGTGTTGTATCAAGTTGACTAAACTTTCTTAGAAAGATGAAAGTAAAATCTTGGTTTCATCATGGCTTGTTTTGCAGAGCTGTTGATAAGTCACAGTTTCTGACTCATAGAAAACCTCTATTTCAAAGCTTGTTTTTTCACTCCCCAAACATGAAGAATATCTGCTTGCTGAGGGTTGTAGTTTGAAATTAATCTAGGTTCTGCTGAACTGTTGTGGAAAGTCACAGTGAGTGCGGGTCAGGTATCTTAGTACAGATATCCACTGTACTAAGTGGATGGCTGCATGTTTAGTGAATTTTAATGGTCATGGGATGTATGTGGTGTATTTCATCCTACTCTGTTGAATTACTACAGTGCAACCAGAGAGAAGACAAAAGTAAAATTAAGGCATGATTACAGGATTCCTTTAAGTGCAATATGGTCCAGCCAGAAGCCTTGCAAGTAGAAGACATTAAGGTTTTACATGAACTATTTTCACTCTCTGAAGGTATCACAGAAAGACTGAAGAAGTTAAAAGTCATGGGTTTTCTGTCTCTGTAACTTAGGTATGTTAGAAAATGTGGGAGAAAATATCTTAGTTGAGCATAAAATCAGTGAAAATATTTGATTTATTACAAGAACTTTTATTACCTTCAGTGCAAATATTTGTAAGACATAGCAACTCTTAATCTTCACGTGAAAAAATAATGTTCTCTATAAGGCTGATAATCTATTAGTAAACTTTGTGACATTTTCTTTTCATAGTCTAGTTTTAATTTTTCGACCTTTAACCATTCAGTGCTGACCATTTGTAACTCAAGTCTGTGTATGCAAAGGGTCTCAGATTAATCACCCAGAAGCCAGGAAGTGCAGTCTCAGCAGGGGGCTGAGGGCCCACACGAGGTACTTAGCCAAGCACCAAGAAAATGCTTTCTTTCATATGAGGTGACTGTCCTTCTTGTCCCATAATTCCCCACTTTACTCACTATTTAGCTTCTGCATGAAATGAAATTGAGCACTTACAGACATTAGTCTCCTTCATTAAACAACCTAATGCTTAACTCTGCGGTGGATTGCTAGAACCGATTCAAGCAGTTCTTCTGAAGGAAACAGGCAATCACAGGCTATCAAAGTGAATACACAGAAGAGTTCTTCACACTACATCTCTAGTTTTCTATTTGGATGCTATTAAACTTACTGTTAATAAAATCAGGTCTTACTGTTAATAAATTCAGGTATCTTAAGCTTTTGTATCATTGTCCATCTCCAGAGTGTCTGCACGTATAGCCTCTAGAAGGCACCTTTGTCTTCCTATCAAGTTTCCTTTTAAAAAGTACAGAATTTGTATTCCAATACTAAGGATTTTGTTCTCTTTTAGGATCGAAATAGAATGTATGACAGTCTGAATATGCACTCTTTGGAAAACTCCCTTATTGACATTATGAGAGCAGAGCATGATCCACTTAAAGGTATGTTACTATGCTAAATATAGAAAAAAGGGTCATCCATTCTGCATATTTGAATTAATACTGATTGCTAATTTAGGTTCATACAAAAATGGCAAATGAATTATTTTCTCAACTCACATGAAGAGTCAATCTTAAGCTGTATTTTATTGAAGACTTTGGTTTATAGTTGTTTAAAGCTTAAGCTTTAGTGTCTTCGTAGGTTTTTCTCCCTCTCCCCTCCATCCTTCCCTCCTTTCCCCCTGAGAAATTCATAGTTAAGTTTTATTTTAACTTTACTTGTCTGCTGTAGGAAATTTACTCCAGCTTGTGAATGAAGACACACTGTTCTGTTAGAGGTAGCCAAAAGAGGGTGGGAGGGGAATCAAACAGCTACCAGTGTTAGCTGGTTAATTTTCCCTTTCTTTGCAGTGGAAGCTGAAAAGAAAACTAAATCCACTGATAAATTCAGTTTTTGTCCTTTCAAATATTTTTTCAAGGCTCCTGGAGGATAATAATGCATGTAATTGTCCAGTTTCTGTTTGTCTGAAGAAGTCCAGAAATACACTTGGCTTTAGAGTGCGGGTTCCTCTTACCCTTCTAGGCTCTGCTCAAATCATTTGGCCACAGCAGTAAGCATATAGCTAATATTTGTGAGCTTCAATTTTAACTCCTATTCACTGTACATTAACTCACTCTTTTGAATTCTGTTTTTCCATACTTAATCTCAGGTGGCATTTACCATTCAACTCTGGGGCAGGGAGCCCAAGCCATTTTATTTGGCATGATCAAGTGTTACTGCATTTGTGGTGTTATAATTGGACTAATGCAATCTAACTTTAAAATTATCCAAGACTTCAGACTTGCTTTGCAGAAATTAAGTCTTGAGTATTGAAGCAATTGAAAAAAATTTTTTAAATATTTCTTTCTTTTTATATTGTTATTTAATCCCGGCCATTCTCCATTTCTATAGGCTCGTAGACTTAGTATGTATTACATTAGCACATAAAGGCCTGTGTTCTCCTGATTTGAAATACACTTTAATAAAGTCTGCTCATGGCTCTCTTAAAATCTGTAATCAATTGGAAGACCTGTAGTATTCAGATAGCGTGTAATAGTATTCTAAGATTTACAATGTAAAGCCAAAAGTTTGGGGTTTTTTTCAAGCTGAAAATCTCTACAAAGCATCAGTAAGAAGGTAGCATTTAGTTAGCTAAATTTTCCTCCTCTTTAGAGTGGAAGCTGAAATTACATTTTCTTAGATGTTCTTCAATCTCATCTCTTACTTCTTACTGCCTAAAGAGAATCAATTCCAGTTTTAACAGTTAAGTCCATTATTAAATTGAGTTTCTGTCTATTCTGCACGTTTACAAAACATTACTAAGTAACACAAAGGGGTTAAAACCTGTGAACGGTTAGCCCAGTGGTAACTGCTGTGGACTAAAAGCATGCATATGTCATCAGAGACAAGGTAACTAGTTAGATCGTCACACATTTTTATTTTTATTCATATTTCATTATGATACAATAGATGAAAAGAATGTATTTCCAATAATAATCTTTCATCGAGAATAAGACAAAGTTTAAGATTTTAAAGTGAACTAGATTCATACGTAGACAGTTTTGAAAAACTCAGTAAAGTTTCCATAGTTATTCTGTGCTTTCTAGGGACATAAGTTTATGGTTTCAGTCTACAGTTAAGAGATTTTTAACAGTTTTACCATCACTCTTGCAGTGTAAATTCTGTTTTATGTTTGAACTGAAACAGATGGAAGCCATAGATAGTGATGAATTCAAAGGAAATCCATTTTTTTTTTGTTTGAGTGCCAGAGAACAATGCACACACCAACTGAGTTTAAATAGAGTAATTGTGTGCTGTTATTGAAATTGGTTGATTAAGAATTTTTTTTTCTCTTTGGAAGTTCTTACTTCAGCTGAAACAACTACATTATTAACAGTAAGACATGGGAAATGTTCCTTACTGACTGAAAATGGAAAGAAGAGATCATATCCTAGAATAGCGTTTTAGTTCCTCTCTACCTCTCTTCTGTTCGGTCACCATTAGTTGGCATTTCTGTAATTTCCTAGCAACTTTAACTTTTTTTTCCTGCAAACCATGAAACACTAATTTTGTTATTTCAGTCTCTGTGGCTTTTCTTTTCACCACAGAAAATCTGACATTTACTTAACCCATCATGTTTGCTTGCAGAATGCACAGGATTAAGAATATTATTGTTATTTATTCATTGTTCTTATTAATAGATAATGTACTTTGTTGTAACTAAAGAATATTATGTAACTAGAGGATATTTTTATGACAAGTTTTTAAGTAAATCTAAGCACACTAAAACAATGCATCTTTTATATCTGACCACAGCAGTAAAATGAAAGTCCCTGGAATTTTAAGCACGTGTTTCAGATTTAGCTGCTTACAATATCTGGAGTATGACTAAGCATCTTGTCTCAGATTTTGCACAATGCAGAACAGACACTGTGTGTACTAGCTCACAGCTTTTAAGTTTTGCATTTCAAGATCCATTTTAGAAGGAAGTCAAATTTCACCACTTTTGCTTTCATGAACTTGAAAAAACTTTATTTCAACTATGATTCACTGAAAGCTAAGTTTATGCCTGCCAAAAAATTATTGAGAGATGCATAGTTTCGGCTTTGCTTAGACAAAGTTTAGTCATTACTACAGACATGATCAAAAGAAAGAAGTCATTTTTAGCTTTCAGTAAGACATTTTTCAAGGTTAATAGGGAATAGATGCTTGACTTGCCTAGTCATTGCAGCAGAAATACTGATCATATTAAAACTAATCTTTCCCATGCAGCTTTCTTGAAATGCATTTCATGGTAAGACATGAGGTAATGTTTAAGATTACCCCATCCAAGCAATGGAATATAAACTGGAGTTAAAATTCATTAAAGTTAAAATAAATTAATTTGTTTTTACATGATTGTTTTTAAATGCCCTTTTTATTCTTACAATAGCCCTTAAGACTATTTTGAGAGAAGAATTACAATATTGATAGCCTGAAATACATGAGTATTGGTAGTATAACTCTTTTCCAGACCTACTTCTTGTGTACTTGCATTTTCTTTTCCCTTCTCCTCCCCCAAATACCAATGCTTCTTGATGTCAAGATGTAGAAAACTCGGATTCTAGACTTTTCAGAAACAGGAAAGCCAATATATTTGGGCTAAAACAGATTATGGAAAAAACTTAAAAGAAATGGTTATATTTTGCATGGAATATGTATTAGAATTAAGGAGCAGATGATTTAATGGAATTTATTATCTACTGCTTTAAACATCTTTCTAGTAAAGACTATGGTATTTTCTATGTAATTTAAGAGCTTGTCTTTTGTAAGGCAAGAGTATTCATACTGTACTCAGTTTACAATTAATTTCTGTTTCCTGACCAACTTTCTTACAGCTCTGCAAGCTAGATGTAAGATAGTACTGAACTTCAATTAGCTATAGCTTATTAGCGGGAGTAACAAGAAGGAATATTAACTTTATGTTGATTTTTTCTTCTGTTTCTTTGTGAGGGGCAAAACAAAATTTTTAGGAAAGTTACACAAATGTATTATTGGTATAGCTAGTAATAAATAATAAAAGTAAACCACTATTATTTGGTTTCTCTGTGGGGAAAAATAACTTGATGCACTTGGAAGCCTGTCTTGCTTTTATTTTCCCTTTCAACTGGTTTAGTTGAGCTTTTCAGCTGTTAGACATCTTTCTTTTAAAAGCAACCTGCTGGTACATCCTTAGTGAAGTAAAAAGCAAAGCATTGGTGACTCAGCAACACAGTACAGAACATTTTCTTTCTTTGCATATGGTAACTTTTGTTTTCAAGAAATGTGTTTTATATTTTGTGTTATGAAGCTCTAAGATTTAAAGTTATGTAGTTGCTTCCTAGAGTAATTCAAGTTGTGATCAGAAAGGAATTTCTGAGGCTGAACAAAAAAGGAAGGAAAAACTTCACTCTTAGTCATATAAAAGGCTTTAAAATTGTACATACAGTTTCCTCTTTCTGTCATAGAAACTTTTTATGATAAAAGCATATATTTGACTGATAGACTGATTTGCCTAAATAGATCGATTATCAGAGACAACATATTTGGCCTCATTATGACTTACATGATTCTTGTACAAGCTTTTGAAAGTGTGTTGTCTATGTTTTCTGTAACTAGGTGTTGTCCAAACATGGTTTTATGCTGTTGTCTTAACTGCGCTGATCCAAAAACTGAGCTTTCTGAAACTGCTGCAATCCTCAGCCGTTCACTGGTCTGTTAAAGCAGTTTGGGAAAAGCTTAACTTAGAAGCTTTTCTTGTGTAGTCAGGAGATCTCTTGAAAAAAGGAGGATGGGAAAGGAATTTATGATTCTCAGTCTCTTCATTCAACCATGTAAGACCTTAAAAAAAAAGTGGGGGGAGTAGACGTGAAATATCAAACTTCTGAGGCTGTGCATCAACAATGTTTAAAGCAGTCGTTATACTTCAATCTATCCCAAATGTTTTAATATATGGGAATTCCTCCAACAGTTTAGTTAAATAGGAATAGAAAGTATTTCCGAAAATAGATATGAATTTGCCTTAAAATGAAAAGTGAGTAAGCACAACTACATCTGCATGCTCAGAAGAAGCTTACAAAAAATTTAAATTTCCATTGCCCATATTATTAACGTGAAATTAGCTAAATGTAGCTAAAACTAAGTTTGTTATTCTTTCCTCATGGTTTGGATTAGTAAGACTTTTAATTAGATTTAGTGGATAAACTGTCCCGCCAAAATTTATTTGCAAACTTTTTATTTTTTTCTGTCTTTAGAGAATACATTGTGAGAAATACATACCAGGCAGTTTTGTTAACATTAATCACATTTAGATATGGAAGAGGGGGCTAAATTTAATAGAACTCTAGTTGCATAAGAAATGTCAAATATACCTGCTTCTCCTTAGCAATACTATTTTGAATTTGGCCATCATACATGAGAATTATTAATTAGCGGTAACATAATGAAGTTGCAAGTTAAGGTTTGCATAGAGAAAATTTCTATAACATGATACTTTATGATACAGTGTGGTAATATTAGGCATTGTATTTGTTCCAGATAGCAGCACGTTACTAATTTTATATGCTGTAGAGCTAAGTTCTGTAGACAGCCAGTAAAGTGGTTACTTTTCATTTCTGAGGAATGGAATACGTCTATTATTTAAATATTAGATAGTCTTTAACTAATTGTGGTTGATTTTAAACTAATAAAGCATCTTTATATATTATTAAATTTTCTTTTTTAAGCAGGTGGAGGCCACTGGAATCACTAGAATATCTGTTGAACGGTTTATACGATTCTAGATTACTGACACTGAAGTGGGATGGGATTAGATAGGATTTGTGGTGAGGGCAGGTCTTAAAATGGTAGTTTTTTTTAAGCACATTGAAGAACATGCAGTGAAAATAGCTGACTAGAAAGAAATATGTGATAGAAGCAAAGTAAATTTTTGTAAGATGGTGCTCACATCTTCTGTATTTTATATACTGATATTTTGTGATTTTTAATGTTGTATATGTCCATTTAACTAGAATAATCTGATAAAAAAGAGTGTAATCTGAGCTCTGTATAAGACTGATCTTGCACTCGGTTCCATGTGTGAAGTGTTCCAAATTTATGTATACCATTACATTCAGGTGGACACCCTAGAAACACTGCATTTCGCTTCAACAGATTAATCTGAGGGATGAGAACCTAAGTTAACATATAAAACAGCAGAGATTGTATTTTGAAAAAGTAAGCAAACCTTCTATGTTAAAAAAATTTTTAAGGTTCTAAGTCCAAGTACTAAACAAGGTAGTAAACACAAGTATTAAGTTCACCAGAATGCCATAATACATAGTATGATTTCATCGAAATAACCATGTAAATAAGACTTAAAAGAAGTATCAGTACAGCTGTACATGTACTGAATGCTGTGATACTAATTTTCCTTTCTAACACCCAAATCATTCATTATCTGAGCTAGCAAATTCATCTCTGTAACACAGCAAGTTGAGGTTTTTTGCGTTTGTATAATCCATAGGTTTTACACTGCAGTAGTGGGCCCAGCTGCCTAGTGCACTCTCTCCCTGCCACTTAATGAGGAATGCTTTATTATTTCAACTTTTTCAGTTTGGCACCTATGTTTCAGATGCAGCTTATTTGTGAAGCTATAGGGGGGAGAAGAAGCAAAAGAATGCAAAACCAGAGTTGTAAACACAGAATTTACTATCTTCTGAAGCAGTTTATCTCTCCAGGTGTCAATGCTGGTGGGCTTCTCTCTCCTGGTAGGCCTGAAATCTGACCTCTTTTTCTGTAGTAATTACAGAAAAAAAATCTATCTTTTGTCTCCCTTGCTGAATAGGAAAAGGAGATAAATGTGTACAGACAGGGAAAAAGACTGTCACCACAGACTCGAGGAGGTTAAAGATGAGATAATAATTTCTTACAGTTTCTATTATTATTCTAGATAGATACAGCATTCTGATTTGCAAGAAACAGCTTATGTTGTTGCAAGTATTTCTATAGCACCATATATAAACATGATGGTGACAGTAAATAATCTTGTAAAATCTTAACTGTTAGGCAAATGAGTATTACTTTTATAGACCAAAGAACTAAGAAGTAACTCAAGTGACTTGTTATACACCAGGCTGAGCAAACCAGTGGCAGCTCCCAGGTTGCAGTTTAAAAATGCCTTGTTCCTGATTCTTTTCCTGTTATACCAGCATGCATTGCTAGAAGGGCAGAATATTTATAGTTCCAAGAAATATTAGGTATAGCTGTAAATCTTCATCATGACAGAAAAAATGGCTTGTATGTTAAAACTGGACATGTTGAAGATACGAAACACAAAGACAGAGGCTCCTACAATTATTTTGGTTTCGGATCTTGCCTAAGCCTGCTCAAAAATTCTGTATAAGTTAGAGAACACAGCAGAGTCCATTTGGCTGGCATTCATCTGCCCTTTTCCAGGAGGCTGCCCTTGCCCTTCACTGCCTTCCCCACACTTTCAAATTCCAAAGCAAATAGTTCCTACCTAATCTGCAGGTGTTCTGATACCATCCATTCTTATAATAATGAAATCGGTGGGAAGATAAATAGTACATGGCTGTATAAAATCTTTTTGCGACAATGCCTGTAAATAATAAAGCTGAATAAAATATCCTAAATTATCTTAATCTTGGTATTTTGAAGTTTTGAGTGAATGAGTTCATAATGTACATTTTTTCTATATTTTTGGTAGAAGATTATCGTATTGGTTTCCTAAAGGGAAAAGCAAAACTTAAACACTATTGCTTACAAATTTTAAGCAAAAAGGTTTTTTTATTTAACCCTAAAGATATCCCTCGAGACACAAAACTACTGTTTCGAGAAATTTCCAGTCTTGCTGCTAGTCACATGGGTTTACCAATGCCGGGGGAACAGTGTATGACAGGAATTGTTAGACAACCTTAATATATGGACTGCTGATTTGTTTTCTTTCTTCTTTTTCCTTTTTTTCCTGTCTTTCTTTTTAGAAAGAGTGAGCCTTTTTAGGGTATGACAGTGTCTTACTAATGCTTACGTCTCGCAAGCCATCTACATATATATTCCCCTTTAAACCTGTATGAGTTCTAAACACCCATTGGTTCCAGACAGGGTTCTTCTTTATGCCTCCACAAACATTCTCATCTCCTCCAAAAGATTTAAATGTTTAAGTTCCAGTATTTTATATATATGTATGCTTACAGATTATAAGCAAGCAAGTATGTTTGAATAGCAAGATAAATGGAAATGTAGTTTTTTGCACATTAAAGCACACTTCTTCAAAACACAGCAGCCATTGTAAATGTCTCTCTAGGTTAGTGTGTACTACTGGTCTGTTTGCAGCTTCCTGTAAACAGAAAATGTCTCCTTGAATGAAAAGGAATTTGTAGTGAATAGACACTTCAACTGTACATTTTAAACGATTCATTTAACTATTAAAGTGTAATATGCCACCAATGTAGTAAAATGCAATACTTGAAATATTCTAATGTCAGGATATGAGGTTTTCATGTAATTTTTATTCAATGTAAAATGTTGGAAATGTTGTCTATCGTGTTCTTTAATTTTGTTAATTCTGTAGATAAACCAGTACTCTAGTTTTGCCAGACTTACTGAAAAATATTACATACAATGGTTTTATGTGATACACCAAGATAGAGTCATAAATTGGTTAATAAAATTTTAATGCCTTAATTCTTATTAACATGATTTTTCTTAAATTGGCTCAGTAGAGAAGCACTAAACTGTAGAAATGCCACTCTGTTAAGCAATGTGCATAGTAGTGTTATTCACAGTCACTATGAAAGAGAAGACTAAAGCAGTCAGCACTATTTCTGGGTGTCATGAAACAAAAAGTGGCTTTATCCTATTGGAGCTGATCCCAAAGCACACTGCAGATCTTATGACCAGAGAATTAAGGTTAAGAAGTCTGTTCTTGTCAGCTTTAACTTGGGTCAAGGGTATTGTTGGTTAATGTGCTTGGAGTTAAATATTAGCTCTTTATTTCCCTTAGGCAAACTGGAAATATAGTTTATATTTAAATTCTAAGCAGTAATTTTTCATTATTTTTTTTCTAGCATAATAGCTAAAACCTCTGCATTTGTTTTGTTTTGTTCTTTGGTTTTTGTTTTGTTTTAAGGTCGCTTGAGTTACCCACATCCAGGGACTGACAATCTTCTGATGTTAAATGGTAAGTGCTAATCTTATAACAGTTTCTAATTATCTCTAGCTTAGCTTAAATCTGACATGTTGGTATAAAATTATACTATTATATTCTGTTATTGAATTACTTGCCTCTAGTCTTCAACACTGATGGGACTGTTGCCATTTTTCAGAGTTGAATGGCAAGAGCTAATCTTGCAACAGCCTTTCATTATATCTGGTTTATTTGAAATCTGAAATGCTTGTAACAATGCACTATTCTTTTTTGTTCTCAAGCAGATCCGTTGTATGTTCTTCAAAGATCTGCTAGAAATCTATTGTACAGAAACAGGAATTAGAAAAATAAGAAGGCCAGAAAGGCATGTTTTTCTATCTTGTATAAATAAAGGGTGAACTAGATACTTTATATTATACTTCTGTGAAATAACATTTTATTTTTGTTGTTTTTTTTGGAACTGGCTTTGTCAAATATGTTTCTAACTGCAAAATATGCTGAAGTTAGAGTTCACGTTCATGTTCCTCTCCTAGTAGGTCAAACTTCATGAACATCTGCTGCTCAGTGAAGGCATGAACTTTAGCCTTTGTACAAGGCTAAAGAAGGAAGCAGAGCTTGGTAATCCATCTAAGTCAATAATAAATCAGGGGTTTTGCACACAAATGTTTTCTACATTGGGAAAAATTAGGGCTATAATGCCACAGCTTCTCTGGATTAGAAAGCATGGAAACTGTTGTACATGGAGCAAGTAGACTTTTGTCATTGACTTATGGGTCTAAACGTTATCAGTAAATACCTAAATAATAAAAAATACAGTCAGAATAGTTATTTCAGGTTTGTGGTTCTGTGGAGCTCATTTTTTAAATTGCATTACCCATCTGCACAGTCATTTACACTTGTGCAAATGGATACAAAATGTAAAAAATACCTAATTTCCCTTGTGTAACACTGAGGAAATGTTTAAAATTTTAAGGAAACTTAGGTTTAACTTTATACCCAGTAAAGGAAAATATTGCGTAAGGAACATTTAAACAATTAGGTCCTTTGGTATTGAGTAGTTCTTTAAGATTGGAGTATCTTGAAAAGTGAAAATAACTACTTAACTATTGAAATAAAATTAGTGTTTAGCCCACACAGACCATAATCCTGATTCCTGTACATTGAATATCAATGTGCTTGATGTTCCAACATTTACAACAGTTAACTTTCTGTATTTAACTGCAACGGTAAGACCTATTCTGCAAGCCGGTTTGTTCGAGTGGTGTATGTACAATTGTCATTATCTGCTGATTTATAATGAAGTGTTAGATGGGAAGATATTAAAAACTAAGCAATCTTCTGAGCAACTGTGAAATATTTCAATACAATCAGTGTAAGAAATTCATATCATTTTAGTTTGTTTAATACTTAGAATGGTGAGCTTCTCTTTTTATAGTTTTGCATGCTAAAAGAGCATGGAAAGCATTGTTACTCTATGGAATACCTAGGGAAAAAGGTTTTTGCTATTATCACAGACATTGGAAAAATGCATCTCAGTGGTGCCAATCTGTCCTGAAAACCTTACCACAGAGCTAGAATGTGTGCTGAAGAATATCTTGTTTGTTATAAATGCTGGTGGGGTTTCTGCTGTAGTTTGGAAGTTAGCCCTTAATGTGACTGCTGTCCTGCAATATTATTTCCAACCTTCAATAACTGAAATAAAAATAACAATTTGAGTGTCTAAAAGACAGGTACTGGAACATCTGATTTTTAGGTGTGCCCTTTAGAATTTAATTCAGAGCCTTGGTTTAGACACCTAAGCTCTCTACTGCGTGCCTGGAGAATCTGATGTACCTGTCCGTGCAGTTTGGTGCAATCAAGTGTACCGTTCAGAGCCACCTCAAGTTGGAGTGTCTGAACTGCAGCTCCTTACAGCCTGAGAACAGAAGCACTGGGAACAGCTTCTGGGGAGCTCCAGCTGCTCAGACTCTGCACAACCTTTCTTTCTTAGCAGGAATTGAGGGGCGTCCTCCAAATATGTGGTAATCAGGATTACAGCTTGAACATTTGCTGATAGAGTTGCAGACTTCAGTTTCCTTCTCTGCTTAAGTGAATCTAAGATAACATTTCCCTGTATCCCTGTAGTCGGTGCCTTGGAGGGAGGAACAGGGAAGATGAGAGTTGGTAATCCAGGAACTCACATTTGTACCTTACTTTCTCAGTAAGTGTTGTAGTCACTACAAGGAGAAGCAGGAATACTGGACCTTCATGAAAGAAAAGTACCAACATTTTTAATGTGTGTGCGCTAATACTTAACACTAGATCATGACCCTCACTGGATCTTAGTTGGTTTGTTTTTAGTGACTGGTATCTCTGGATCCCAGTAAGGTTCTGACATGAGCCAGGCTGGAATTCCTCAACCCTTTTAAGACTAAGCACTTCTAGATAAAACTTATTTTTAGCTAGTTTTTCCTCTTCTTAAATGATAGATCTTCCAGCTCATTTAAAATGTACTTACTGAACTGTACCTAATATTAATATTTACAGTTTTCATTAAGTTAATGAAATGAACCAAAGGAAAGCTGATTTATGTGTTTTAATAAATTATATATCTGATAATTATATATCTATTTCAGCTCAGGCTGTAAAAAAAGCAATGCATTTTTAATGACTGTTATCTCTCAAAAGTCCAAAAAAGATACTTTGGAATGGGCTTACTTGAGTACATCTTTAATTGTCGACTTAGAGAGAACCTTTCTGTAGCAAGTAGTAATGCAAGAGTCCAATTTGTTGGGGTGTAGGGTGTTTTTTCTCCATTATAGGGTTACCTCCCTTTTATAGTTTTAATACATTGAATTTTTTTAACGACTAATGAAACATAGTTCACCATTTGATTAGTTTAGCAAGGGTGTATTAGACTTTCCATCAAAGATACTATAGCAGGTTGTGCTTCTAAAAAAAGATGTTTTACTTCAAACAGAAGTTATTAAACTTCCTATACAGGAATTACTAAATCAGTTTCTGTAGTCTGTTAGGCTTGCCAAACTTGAATAGTCATAATGATCTTTTGCCTTAAAATCTATAAAGATGTGATTTCTAAAGAAATCTTAATAGAATTTAGGCACCCAAATCCAATAGAATAAAATCGGAATTAGGCACCTACCTCCTTTAGTCTAGACTCTTGGGAAATTTTTGCCATAATTATTTATGGTTTACTTTAAATGACAAATATTAATGAAAAAGGTTGCATTACTTCACTGTCACCATTTGATCATTAAATCAGGAATGTTAGTGACAAATAATATGTTATCTTACTTTCTATCATAAATTTAATAGTTACCTTTAGATATAGGAAGCTTGCCTAGTAGTTTTTCCTGTTATACAACATAATATTTTTAATTTGGCTCAGTTGTTCAGTGAGTTATTTAAATATGTAGATGTTTGATCTCTGGTATATATTTGAAATACATGTCTGAATAAAATAGAAATGATACATTTGCTATCTGTGTGGTAGCATTGCTCACATAATGTACAAAGTTATATTTATATTGTCTTGATATTAGATAAACATGCACAAAAAGTGTATTTACTTCTGTCTCATATTTCTATCTCTGAGCTGATTTAAGCTGCAGAAAGGGAGGTATAAATTTTTTTGACAGGTTTAAGCCTTATTACTATGCAACTTCAGGGATATACAAACAGAAGGTTTTGACTCTAAGGGAATGTCTTTGTTGTATATACAGCACTTAATGTTGGAAGGTTCCAGCATTATTGGACTTCATTTTTATTGGGCATCATTATACTTCTTGCACGTGTTGCCTAATTTATATTTTCCAGAATAAAAATGCATCTCTTGTACTTTCTCACTCATTTGAAATCTTTCAGAGTTTTTGGCTAATTAAGATATCTAGCTTTATAGACTAAAAGATACAAAAAATATTTGTGTGACTTACTCTTTGAACAAGTTCAGGAAGGAAGGAAGTTTAATCTATCTCTGTTTTGTTGCAGTAAATCAGTTATTTGCCTACAGTGCCTGGCCTTTCCCAAAGGGCTGCCTCCCCTGCAATTATTTGTCTAAACATACGCACTAATTATGTAGATGTATGTATTAAATACACATATATAAAAAGCTATATGTCTAGCTAAATATATAATTAAATATATCTATAATGTGTATAATTCTACAGACCACATACTTTGTAAGCATATGTGCTCTGAAAGATGTAAAACATTACGAGCAAGTTTTTTTAATAAATACAGAAATATTTCTGATTGAATCTAATATCTTCAGGAAGAAAAATCTCATTGCTTACAATGTACTGAAAGTTTGATTCAGCGGAACTGTTTACACAAGTACTGTCTGGCCTTTGAAAGAAAGTTTATATATGTATGTAATGTGGAGAGATTAAAATACTGAAGTTTCATGAAGATAGGATATGTTTGCTTTAACACCATATTTTTAGTAACAGTAAGACTTTGTACTTACTGTTATTAAAAGAACTTACCTATAATATAACCACTGTGGTCTTAAAGTTTGGATAAAAATAGGAAAAAATAATGAGTTTTACAAAACCATACATTTTGATGTTAATGATCACATTTATTGCAACAGTGTCTACAGATTGTCTAAGAATGGGATCGCATTTTTCTAGACACAAAGTGGCAGAAAATCCCTGACCAAACTAGCTTGCAATCTAAATGGACAAGACAGATAAATATCAGGGAAGGGGGCTTGCCATACAAGTAAAGTAAACAATGTGACAACATCGAGTACCGTTATTTTCTCATTTTCTCTGATTTCATTGTTTTGCTGAAGCAAAGAATACAGAGATAACTTTGGTACATCATTGTAATGTCCATATATATAAAATACTGCGGCAACTACCCTTTTAAGTTGAATTGCATTGAGGGGTTTTGAGCATTTTAATAACCCTTTTGTGTTTCTCCTTAAAATTACTGTTGTTTGTTTTTAAATGGATAGAGAAAAACGGTTCAGGTGTTCTGTAACAAAATATTTTTATGCATATCAACTTATCTTAACTATGAAAATACAATAAAATAGCTGGTTTGTTGGGCAGAAAGGAGGAGAAGTGGTAGAAGAGAACAAAAATTACTAAGGCTTGTACCAAAAGACGTTTATTACTATGCATTTGTATAGTATTCTTTGAGAGAGAACATGGCACTGCAGTCTTTGCTATGGATGTGATGCACTTGAATTTTCCATGGTTACTCTAGTTTTATTTGTGGAAGAAAAAAAAAAAAAAAGGCTTACAGGGGGGAGGACAAGGGCTTAGTGACGGTACTGCTAATGCTATGTGGGAGTCACTTTGGCCAAGAGTCAGAAGAGATTCGTACGTGCTGCAACACTGACGTAGAACTGCGTGTCTTGTAAATGCCTGACTTCAGAGGAAAACAAGTCTGAAGTTCAGCATTAGTCTCCCCACGCTGCAGCAACTAATGAGAGAACTAATCACATAGAAGAATGCATTATGTTTAGTGTTTTAAGGGAGAAGAAACAAGGAGAGAGATTTTCAGAATTCCATAAGGAATCCACTGAATTCCTGGTAGGAAGGGCTCAAGATAACAAAGAAAAACAAAATATCATACTTACTAAAAATTTTGAAAAACCCTGTGCAAATGGGAAGTACTAGGATATAAATATTTAATAATATGAGAACAGAACAGTGAATGAGATTTATTAATCACTGCATTTATGAGGCTGCATATATTTCAATGTTCCAGAACCATAGTTGCTATTTAGGAGAGGTGTATGTATGGAGTCCTAGTAAAATCAAAGCAATAATGCTGAGACCCAGTAGTCTTTGTTCATAAATGTTGCTATAACATTATGGTTTATAGTAGTATTTTCTATTTGGATATTTAACTACAATGCTGTAATGATTAAAGTAATCTTTCTCAGATACAAAGTCTGTGAAACAGGAATAGAAAATACTTTGTGGAAACGTAACTAAGAAATTACATACAGCTTAATAGTTTTTGTATTAGTAATTGTCTATTTTTAGTTTCCTAGCCTTCAGGCAGAGAAGCAATCAGTATGGTCTTCTGAACTGTAGCTGTAAGCGTGATCTCTTTAAGAATCTTGCAAAACTCAAAAGTTAGGAAAATTTTGGATTTACTTGCAGTCTGTCAGAAATTGTTGCTTTGCCTTTGTGCAGTGTTTTTGATACAATGCTGTTTCTTGTGACTTGTGCCCTGATTTTGTTTGCTACCACAAGGAGTCTTTTGTTTCAAATAAAACCTTGCGGTTAATTTTCTGCTAGGTCTTTTCATGAAAAGGAAGGTCACAGCTTCTAGGATTTGTGTTGTCACTGCAAAGGACTGTACAAACTGTTCCATGGACCAGGATGTTTCTGTGAATAATTTAACACTTGCTACATGCTTTTTAAAAGTAATATTTTCCTTTTTACAATTTCAGTATCCTGTGTGTTATTTAGACAGTTGTGTAAGATACGAATCACATTTGTGAGAATGAATTACAAAGTTACCGTAATTTATGCATCCATAATTAACGTGAAGTTAAGATCAAGTATAAAGGCATGTTGAAATATTTTAAAATATGTTCTTTACAGCTGGTGCTAACGTCAATTTATTTATAAATTAGCATGGTATTTAACTGAGACTTTAGTTTAATGCATTTTCATCTGCAATTACCAGTAGCAAGTACTGATGCAGATTTTTACTTCTCTCTTACCCACATAGTTCTTTGTAACTTAAATATTTTAATATGTGGGCATGATACAGTTATTTGACATTTTACAATTTGTCCTTTGTTTGCATGCAGCGAGGACTTATGGGCGAAGACGAGGTAATTCAATTCTATTTGTTACAGTACAATTAATTCTGATTGAGCTGTTACTGATCATTACGATTAATTAATCCAGATTATTGATTATAAATGCTTATCTGCATGTTGTCTTAGTTTGGGAAAGATGGAGGGTGTGAGGGAAGGAGGGGTGCAGTCTGGATTGTTCTGATCATTGATCTCTCTTTAGAGTTTAAATTACAAATCTTGTAATCAATTAAAACATTGTAGTTCTAATCATAATTTAGTTCATGCTAATGGCTACTGCTTGCAGTCGTTGCCCCCTTTAAAAATATATGGTTTGCTAGTTGTTCTTCTAATGCATCTTCTTTTGCTTCTGTAGAAGTGATAGAGTACTATCTAAAAGCCTTTCATAAACTTAGCAAGAAATCTAGTAGACAACTCTTAGAATTAGTAAATGGATTTTCGTAGTATAAGCCAATATATGCTCGCTGACCTTGGAAAAGCTACACTGATTTAACTATATGAGGATGTGACCTGCAGTTGTTACCATGTAAAGCATGCAGCAAAAACATCAAGATCTTTGACAGCTTCTAGTATTTACAACATACACATAAATTCATGTGTCTCTCTTTATCTCTGCATTGGTTCATAACTGATTGCTTGGTAGCCCTAATGTGGAGGAGAGTGGTGATCTAGGTCATTCTCGATGTGTGTAACAGTACAATCGTGTTTTGATGGTTCCTGGCAGATTCTGCTTAATTGTTTTCACTGTCATGCAACAAAAAGAAACAAATGTTTAAAAGGGCTTATCCTTTTAATTCACAGTCATTGGGAGAAATGTGAAAGCCTAGCAAATTACCCTTTTGCTCTTTCCATCTGAGAGACAAAGTGAAGGAGAGGGAGAGGAAAGTATTGGGAGTCATATAGAGCCTGTTACTCTAAATGCGTTAATCCATTGTCCTCTGTGTCATCTTAGCTCTCTGAGGAGCTGCAGTGCTTTTGGCAAACCTTTACCCACATTAAAGTAAAACTGATCTATCCAGTATCACTTCCAGAACATATTCTGATGGTTTAATTTGTACTGGGAAGACAGCCTTAGATTCTCGTTGTTCTTAGATTTTAACGCTGGTCTGTGGGTAAAAAATAATTTGTCACTTACTACCGTCTTGTGGTCCTGCTTTTATTTTATAATCTTTGTGATGTTTTATTGTCTTTGGTTGTTTTGTATCTTGTGTTTTCATTCAGTATTTTTGATGTACTATGTTTTTATTATAGATTTAGATACCAAATCAGGGTCATTAGCTGTTACCACAACATAGGTCGTTGGTCATGTTTGCTGTCTGTTCTCCAGCCTTGTCTTTAAGCACTTGATTCTCAGATGGTCTTCTGAAAGTGAATGGCTTTCATACCGCTCTCACCCCAAGCTGATCAGCACAATGTCCACAGGTGTTCCTACGGGGCTTTCCTGGTAGTATTGCCCTGAGATGGAATAAAAGTTAGAATGCAGTTTGGCTCACAGCTAAGGTACTGCAGACTCAGCTGTCAGGGACCTGCTGCTCCTGCGTATGGATTTGCAGTGGGTGAATCTGGAAGAAGTTGGCTATTTGAGATGGAAAGTTGATTCCCAAAAGTGTGCTAGGTGGTTTTTTGGTTTTATTTACTTGCTTGTTTTTGGAAAGCAGTTGAATTCATATTTTAAAAATGAGTGAGAGAGAAACAGGAAAAATTGCATTTCAGAAGAAATGATGATGTGTGGTATTTATTTTGCTTCATGAAAGTGTTTCTTATTTTTTTGCAATTAAAAGAATGACTTCTGAATTTGAAACTGACATTAATCTTTATGTTGCTAATCTAAAGCAGTGAAAGTGTGAATAAGCTAAGGTACATATCCTGGCCTTCCGAGTCTTTTCATTTTGGAGTTCTCTAAAATTTGTAGATATGAAATAGGGGGAAAATGAGTGGCACAAAATTACTAATTTTTCACTCCCCCCTGCCATCTATACAACTGTTTTGATCAGTTTGCATTTGCAAAGCCATCCTGTGAACTTCTCAGATTTTACACTTGCATTTCAGGGTAACTGTAATCTTACTGCAGATTGCTAGGTGTTAGGAACCACCACAGGGCTTCCCTTCCAAAACTGTGGTAAATCGGAGAGCGAGAAGGATAAATCAGCACAGTGACTCATTTTTCAAGTGTTAGATTTTGCACATTTATTAAAATTCTCTTTTGCTTTCTTAGAAATTAAATCTGTTCTTAACGTTATCAGTATCAGATACCTTTAAAAGAGAAAACATACCTGTTTGAAACTTACTACCGTGTACGTGTGTTTTCTGTTGCCCTCTGTTCAATTAAACTGTAAAATTTTTAGACATGCAGTAGTCATTCAGGTGATGGAAGTTATCAATTTAACTTCAAGCTAAACCAAAAGCAGACTAATGAAACTCTGCAGCCCTTAAGCAGAGTTAAGGGCTTAACTTAAGCAGCCCTTAATATGATCTCTTCATGAATAAGACTCTTTATTTAAAAACAAATTAATACTTTCCTAGTGGATGCAGCAGAGTAACTACAATATAATTGAGTACGAAGTATTTTGCTTACAGTGATGTCAGCTTGCAATCTTGAGTTTCTTTTTTGAAGTTTAATACATTTTTCATTTTCTTAATTTTTCTTTAAACTAATGTGTACTTTTCTAATATCTTGGTATTTTCATTTTTACTTTCCAGACTGCTATTCCCCCATTCCCTAAAATTACATAACCATATACTGCTACAAAATTATTTTAATGTATATTATTATCTTTTCTTTTTAAGGCCGTTCTTCCCTCTTCCCAATAGACGATGGTTTGCTGGACGATGGTCATAGTGATCAAGTTGGAGTCTTGAATTCACCTACCTGCTATTCAGCTCATCAGAATGGAGAACGAATTGAGCGTTTTTCTCGGAAAGTGTTTGTTGGAGGTCTTCCACCAGATATTGATGAAGGTGAGCTGCCTGAAAACTAAAAAAACTATGTTTGGAGGGAGAGAGAAAGAGAGATTTTTAAAAACCTAAATGAAGTAGTAGAAATAATCCACCCAGCAAAATAATGTTGTAGTGTAAAAGTCTACAACTATATATATTTTTAATGAGAGTTGATGGACTTGTTGAGCTTAATATCGTTTGATATCATCCATCTCTTTTGATTTTGATATGGTTCAGTAGTCTCTGACTGCACTTGCAGACTGTAGAGTTGTATGTGATGCCTGGAACTTGTGCTCCTGCTTAGCTTGAATATTCCTTTCATATACACCTTAGCCCTTCATAGTGTCCTCTGTATGAGCCTTTATTCTCTATTTTCTATTCATAGAAAACTTCTATTTGTAATTGAATTTCAAATTCTATTTTACTATTCCCTGAAGATCTCAGAAGTGGTTTAGAAAGGTTAATATTATTCCTGTTAATAGAGAAACTAAGGCAGAGGAAGGTCAAGTGGCAGAGCACTCTGTAATGCATTGAACATAGAATGTACTCCAGAAGCTCAGATACTTATGTGATGGAGTTGGAATTGCTTTGTACAATACTGCTGATTTAAGTAATCGTGCTGTTTAATATAAGGTTTCTCCTGTGCAGATAAATGTAAATCACATGCTAGCTTTGTAATGTAAACAGAAGTCCCTTTACAAGGTTCATTGTAATCCTGGAGTAACTTGCAAACCAAATAAGCTGACTGTAGTTAATTAACTTTCAGACATCGAAAGGCCATAGTGTGGTTTCATCTTCCTTGTGATGCTCTCCTGCAATGTACAAAGGGATTTATTTTAATATACTTCAGCTTTTTTTGATGCACTTTAGCTTCTAATTCAAATGTGCGCTGTTGTCTTCAATACAAATGCTAAATAAAGACACGTGGAAATGTATTTTCTTTCTTTCCTGCCTGTTTATATGCTGATGGCAGGATGTGACTGAGAGAAATGAAGCATATTTGTGTTTGATGAGTTATTGCTCTTGTAGAGTTTAGGGTGGTTTAATTTTTTCCTCATGGCCAAGGTTCCTGCAGTCAATGACAGGAAGAAGTGATTGGAGTAGAAAGATGTCACAAAGTTGTGCAGGGAGTGTAGTAGATCTTACAACAGGACTATTCATGACTATGTTAGAAGCACTTATAAATAGGCAGTTTTAAGTTTCTATGCCTGATCTGTGCATGGTATCTGCTGGAAACTGCTGGCATGCTAGTTGTGGTGATACTTATTATATGAGTATCCACCTGCAAAGCTCTGAACTGTACATCACTAAACAGTAAATTGGTTTGATTGCATTCAAGCCAGATTCTGAATTTAAGGAAGTATCACACCAGTTTTCACTACTGCCTTTAGTTGCCCATATGCTTCTGAAATGCCTCTGTTATTAAACAATAAAAGAGAAACATAAGCTTAAAATTACCAGAAATATATCAGGTAAAAATTAAAGCTTTGGACAATGTGTCTATTTAAGCTTTTTGTTCATGAAAGTTTGAAATTTTGTTCCTTTTTTTCCATGAAATGTCAACCTTTGCTAGAAACAAAGATCTTTGCTTGATAGTACTTTTTCCTTGAGTTATGTCATCTATTTTAATTGCAACTATTATACCTGTTTTTAGATGAAATTACTGCGAGCTTCAGACGATTTGGGCCTTTGGTAGTAGACTGGCCTCACAAAGCAGAAAGCAAGTCCTATTTTCCACCAAAAGGTAAGAGTTGGAAAGTTTTGACCTATCACTGAGTGCAAACCTTACTCTGGGAAACTGTCTCATCTTTTTCCAAAGGGTATAATCTACAGTCCTTGTGAACTATTAATTCTACAGTTTCAATGGAGGTTCAGACATGGTTCCTTTACATACCAAGTCTAAAACCTGAGAGTGTTGTTTTAGTATTATGCCTGGTTCAATGCTGGACTCCTGAATGATCTTCCATATTGTGATTTCACATATATCAGATCAGTGTTATGTAGTTGTATGTGTCATTAATCCTAAATTCTGTATTTGCATTTCTATCCAGTTTCCAAACCTGAAATTTGGTCAAATTTTTAAGACTAAATCTTAGATAAAAATTCTCATAGGAAGTTACAGGCAGGATTCAGAAGGATGCATTTGGGTATCAGATCAAGATAATCAGTGTTATGTTTCTCTCAGTTTTAGGATGTGAACTTCCTATTGAAGCACTAATCTTTTTTGATAAATTATTAAATACTGATCTTTAACTATTTCTAGTGTTGCTATTAGACTAGATTTTTTTTTAATATCACTTACAAAGTGTTGGAGAAGCCATTCTGTACACTAAGTAGTTAAATTATGTAGCATATCTTTGTACATGTACAATCATATATCGGTACATGTGAAACAAATGCAAAAATCTGATCCAAACATGAAAGCAATACAGAGATTATTCATTTTGTAGAGAATGCAGCAATTCATTCCTTCACTGGAAGTGACAAAAGTAGGTATAGTGCTTTTACAAACTGATTCTTCATTTGTTTATCTGACCATCTATGCTGGGGAAAAGACAGGATTATTATCCCGGATGGGTCCTCTGAAAAGTGGGAAATGGAATTGAAAGTATTTGAATAGTATTTATGAACACTACATGGAAATTCTAAGACAAAGAGACTTTGGTTTTTTTAATTGAGAGCCTGATACACAAAGCTACTGTCAAGTTAAATTTGATTACCCTAAGGAGTGCATCTCTCTTCATAAATTACCAAGAGGAATTCTTGAACTCTTTGAGGAAGATGCATTTTACAGAGTCTGTAATGAATATATAGAAGAGGAAAGATGGAATATATTCTTAAATGAAAGGAATGGATTCTGGCATTCATTTCCAAGGAGATAATCCTGTCTCAGCATCTGAACATCTTAAGGATATATTTCCAGACTTCCTCATTTAATAAAGGTTTTTTATATAGTTGGAATATTTACAATTGCCACAGTAAAAATAAAATAAAATAAAAAATCTGTATTGTAAGTAGAGCCTCTTAAAAGCAGAGAATACAAATAGAACTTCAGTCTGTTGATCTAATTAAGTCAGGAAACGCTCACAAACTAAGTGTTAAGTTTATTTCCCATGATTAACTGATCCTTATTTGAAATTCAATAGCACTTACTTTTCTTCAATCTTTAAACTTTATTCTAATTTTCAGTTTGCTACATTGCTCAATATTGTTTTGTAAGGTAGCCTAACACATTTAAAATTCAGTGTAGGTTTCTCTTTGTAGATACTCTGGAAACATAGCATACTATTAACTACTGAATATTACTGTGTTTATATCTGCTTTTTTCAGTGCAATAGATAGGACCCATGATTATTTTGTAGAAGAATTTCTTAAAGATTTATCTTTCTTAAGTATTACTCACATGTGCAGGCAAGAACTATGTATACATGTATTTAATAAGATGTCTGTATTAGCGCAAGGAGGAGTTGGTTTGGGTTTTGGTTTGTGTTTTTTTTTACTTTTAATCTCCAACTTCTAATTTGTTGCTCTGCATGGAGTCAATTCAGTGTCTATATTTTTGTTTGTTCAGCCTCATTAGATGTTTGACATAGTATTACTTTCCAAAGACATCTCAGAATTATCCAGTTCTGGACTGATTTATGTAACAGTCTTCTCTGTGGTGAAGAGATACAGCCTGCCTTTTTTTTTTTTTTTTTTTTAAGTCTTGTTCACTTTTTGAGGCTGTGGTTCCTTCCAGGCTGTCTGCTTACAGAAAGTCCCAAGGGAAGGCCAAGTTCATAATAAGTATTTCCTTGCTTGAAGAAATGCAAAAAGTGTCCTGATCCATCAAGGCTGGCTGCCTCCTGAGAAACACCAACTGCTTGTTCTTAACTAGTTACATTTTATATTGATTCACCACAAAATTAGGCCCAAAGAAAACAGAATTTTTTTCAAAACTTCACAGTAATCTTGCAAGGAAACTCTGTTCTGAAGCAAAAGAAAATTACTCTGTTGAGATCGAAGTACAAAGTCTGTAAGTGATCTGCCAACTGTAATGGAGAATTCCTTCCTTTCTGACTTGCCACTGTTTATCATAACTCCTGTTATTACGTAGTTGGCAAATATACTTATTTATGAAACAATACACATGTCCAAAGGAACTTGCTGAGGTGAGGACTCCTTCTTATCATAATGAAGCTCTCAAAGAAATGGTGCTGTGAGGATATGCAAATCCAAAGAAGGCCTTTCAAAATATGCCCAGTTATTTGCGTGCTCTGTACTATTTATAGTCCATATCAAACAGAGGATAATCTGATTTAAACAGGACAGTATCCCCAGCCTTTTCTAATTGTCTAGGTGTTTCTGTTACCTTCTATCACAGCAGTTGTGCAGTAACTTTGTTTATTCGAGGTTCTTAACAGCTAATTTAGAACTGACTGAACAAATTAGGTTGAAAATGTTCTCTTTCTAGTTTAAGAAGCAAAGCCTCAGGTCCATCCAAGTTCTGTTTAACTTGTTACTAGCTTATTTGATAACACTGGATAGGATTGAACTCTGGATTCAGGCAAGTAACTGTAGGTGTCTTCATGTGTGATTAGTGTCTGAGCTTCGTTTAATCAATGGGAATCTGGCCAATACCGTCAGTGGAATATAGAGGGGAACATAAGCACATTGAGCTTGATTCATTTACCCAAACCAAGGATATCTAAAAGATTTACACAGGTCTCACAAATGTGGTGCAGCACCTGTTGAAGCCCCACACCATTCTGGAGGACTAGCTGAAAGTTAGGCAAAGTCCTGTAGAGGATAAATGGTGTTAGACACCTCCATGTCCCACTTGATTAGCTGAATAACCACTCAGCCACCACTGACTAACTGGATCTCTGTACTACAGTAGGAGCTTAAGCACAGTCACTGCAGAAATATGGGAATAGGTGTTTGGATCTTGAAGTGAATCTTGCTCCCCCCCCTACTCGAAAGTGCCTCAGCTGATAGCTACATTGCAATTGTATCAACCTGCATTTTTTCACTTGAAGTGTATTTTGGAGTTAATTCTTCATCAAAGATGATGAAACTGAACAAGTGAAAGATTTATGTTTCAAAGATTAAATTTAATTAATATGGTGATGAGATCTCTTTAAAGAGGAATACATGAAATGTTGTGTGTCCTTCCCAAATATAAATTGTTCCCATCATCAAATGTAGATCCATTGTCTATATTAACCTGCAGTTTGTACTGATTCTTTCTGATTTAAGCTAAAGCACAGCATTCTATGGGCAAGAATTGTACTCCACTGAGGCTATTTAGTCTTCTCTGGGGAGAGTCTGTCAGGACAGTAGAGGAACCAACCCCAAAACACAATACAGCTGTACTGGCTGGCATGGACAGTGCCATGCTGGCCTATATTCATTTTCTTGACTCCTTCTTTAACCTGATAGTGTTAGGAGTTAACTGGAGTTTGATGGAACTTAAAGCTGCTCTCTGATTTCTACAGGAGAGTATGCATAGCAGAAGCAGCATCCTTTCTCCTTCTGGTAAACTTCTGTATTACTACGAAATAAAGAAATTACACCTTGCTCAGAAAATCGTGTAAGATACCAGTGTGAATCTAGTCTAGGATGCTTTGCTTTGGATTTGTCCTTTATGTAATAAGTACAAAAAACTTACCTGATGGGCTTTCTGTTTCCAGTGCTGACCCAATGTATTAAAAAGAAAAAAATACTTAATTTCGTGGTCTTGTTTCATTAAGAGAGATGTCAGCTTAAAGTAAGGATGACTATAACCAGTGCAGTGTCTTTAGATACCAGGGAATGTAGTTCTGAAGCCAATTATCATCTCTAGAAAGATTTGTTTATTATTTGAGGTAACTGCTGAGGACACGTATTAATCAAAATCACCCACACTGGTTGCCTTTGAAAATAGGAGTGTTAGTAATAGTTCCAGTGTTATGCAGAGAAATTTAGTCAAGTGATAAACACTAACAGGGATTACCTAAACTTTGTCTCCCACAGGAGGCATAAATTCTGGTAGAGGTGCATATGAACAAGAATTTTTTATAAAACTGTGTTTCATCTAATATTTTTCGTCTTGTGAAGTACATACAAAACATACAAGCTGTGTCTCTTGCCAAGTAATATCTGATCATGACCTGCTACTGTTGGTGTACATATGACCCAGAGGTATGAAGCAGCTTCCTTCAAAAAAAACTAATAGAGTAACTTTGCTTTTCCATTGTAAACAGACTTGCATTGCTATTAGGTGTGAAGCTGTTAAATGGCTGATGTGCTACACGAAAAAACCCAAGAAACTAGGGAGTTAAGCTGTTTTGTAGTACAGTAAAACACCTCCTACTCTTTACCCTACCTCCCTGCCATGTTTCACTGTGACATGTACTTTCCTATTGCACATGGTAATTGTAGTTCAGTACTACTCCAGAAAGACTAGTAGTTAGGCACTTGGTCTTTTTCATCATACATATGCACATGACTTACCACCATGATACTAGCTTTGCAGACATTAAACAGTCACAGTAGTTCATGAATTATGGATGTCAAGGTGAAGAATAATCCAATCAAAGCACATATTGAGAAAGCAGAAAGGTGTAAGAATAAAATTTGTGCCATACAGTTGTTGGCATGTGGTAGCTGTAGTAACAAGAGCCCTAATTTATGATGTCCAAGTGAAATACCTAAGAGTGTAATTTCCTTTTGCAAGCACTTTTTAGCTAATGAATACAGGCTGGTTGTCTATGTAACTCGTGTCCTTCAGAGAAGTCTATGGCTAATGTATAATTGACTTGTGCCAGGAAATGCGCCCTGGTCCAAGGCAAGTGATGGAGAGTGGTTTGTACGCAGACTGTGCAAGTCTAGCATTCTTTGGGAGGGATTGGCTGTCTCTGTATATGGCTATAGAATGTGAGACCTCAGCAAATTTGTCTTCTCTAGCCAGTTTTCTTCACCAGGAGAACTGGTTATTTTCCTCCAGGCTAGACTTGGGGAGCAAACTAAAATGCACTGTAAATCATTGAAGGACTAGAGCTGTAGAGCAAAACTACAGCCAGACCAATTTGATAGTGCGGACTATACCCTAACTTTCTCTGTGTATTCAGAGGGCGAGTAGTTCAGCTAAGTTCATGACACAAGCCTGTATAGTGTTTAAAATTAAGTGGGATGAACCCAGACATGAGTACGTGCTTTGCTGATAACATTGAGAAAGCAGTATTAAGGTATAGTTTTGGTATTGCTTTCCTTTTATTTCAGGTGAGGTAGGATGTAGTAATCCTAATTGTTCCCTCATCAAGTTCTTGTATTTGAATTTTCTATCGTACAAGCTGCCACAGATAAGGATATTAATAGCTGCAGACATAGAGGTGATAGATCATGTGGAGACACTGACCACCTTTATGTATGAGGAGCTATATGGCAGTACCCTTGATTTGCTTTAGGATAAGAACTGATGGAAAATCAGCATCTGGCAAAATATTTTACTTACTTCTGGCTGTGGGTCTGTCTTTGTATGTCTGAACCCTCAGTTGGTATCATGTGCCTTTACCCCTCCCTTTGATTAATCAAGTTTTTGCACTGCCATCATTCTTGTGCTGAGCTCTCCATTCAGGCAGGAATGTGTGTGCCTGGCTTCCACACAAGTAAGGACAGTTGCACAGGTCTGGTCTCACTTACCCAGTCTGCACATGTCCTCATCCAGTGAGTGAGTTTTGCAGGGGTAATATGTGGATTTTAAATTCTAAGATAAATACTGAAGGATATCCCCATTAAAACAGATTTTGAATCTAAATAATTACTAATTAAGCTTATGTTAAACAGGTTGTCACTAAAAAATACTGGTCAGCAATGAAAAATGAACGTCATAATAAAATGCTTCAGCGCAAGCCTAAAGATACCCTATGGCATATTTGCTAAGAAACTAAATAAGATTTACATAAAAATACAGAATACATAAAACCTTGTCATGTGTCACTTGTAGGTAGCTGTCATAGGACTGTGGTATGAGGGGTAAGAAATGAGGTACAAGTTATTAGAAAGACCACTGTAGGCCTTACAGCTTTTTCTCTAAATCCTACTTTTGTTCCCATATATCCAAAATCAGTCGTGCGTTTCTTTCTCTAATCTTATGTTCTTGTTAACACATGTTTCTTTAATGCTTTTCACTATGCGCCTTACCATCTCTACCTTGATGGCCTACAGTGTTTGTTTGCAGTAAGAAATTGCAAGTGGTTAACTAGTTTCTCTCAGAAATACAGTATCATTTTCAAAAAGATTGGTAATACAGCCATGCTCCCTTTTGCCAAGCCCACTCTAGAGCAGCTGCTTCAGCATTTGCTTTCCCATCCAAGTAATAACACATAACTTCATGTGAAAATTCCACACTTGATAGTAATCTTGGAAAGAAATGTAGATTTATGGTCCTTTTAAAGTTCATTTTAGAATACAACCCTAATTGCGTTATTGGGCACCTGTAAAGTAACAAATTTTGTGTATATCATTATATTGTAACTGTTAAAGTATTCTAATGTGTGAGGTTCTTTGCTTGTCTGACTGTTTGTTTTTACTGTAGCATTAAATAAGCATTTTAATTCCTATTTTTGTAGTGTTTGGGGGGTTTGCTGGGTCACTTATGTAACAAAGTACTTTGATCTAATCTCTATTCTAGAGATTAGTCCTTTGTGCCAAGTCGGATTTTCATTGTATAATGTCCGTTGCTGCCAATGAATTATGTTCAGCCTAGACTTCAGTACATGATAGAGCAGATGTGTTTGCTTTTATTTGGTTATTAGCCTCTTTTGACAATTATTTTAAGGATAGAAGTTCGGTTGATCATAGCAAGGTAGTACATAGTTAAAGAAGTTGGCTAATAAAAAAGAATTGGTTTGACTTTCTTTTACTTTTGAAGTAAACACATTTGTATGGAAAAGTCACTGGCAAAGATGATTAAGAAAAATAAAGATAAGAGAAAAAATATCAGTTAGTTTGGCTTTTTTTCCAGGTTATGCATTCCTCCTGTTCCAAGAAGAGAGTTCTGTTCAGGCCCTGATTGATGCCTGCATTGAGGAAGATGGAAAGCTCTATCTATGCGTTTCCAGTCCTACTATCAAGGACAAGCCAGTAAGTAAACAGTAGATGGCCTGCAGGCTATAACTGCCATCTGTCTAAAGCTGCATTTGAAATGATGATGATGAAAATAATCAAAAGCAAACTACTGTTGGCAGAGCTCAACATCTGTAATGGTTGGGTGATTTTAAAATTGTAATGTTTTGAATTAATAGGATTAAAAGAGAGCACCTAGACACACTAAGCTAATGGGGTTATGACTGTTTAACAGTTTATATAGGCTGATGAACGTGTATCTATGATGCAGTGAAACTTAAAGTAGCGTACTATTTTCTTTCCCAATTTAATAGGTTCAGATCCGTCCATGGAATCTAAGTGATAGTGACTTTGTGATGGATGGTTCGCAGCCACTTGATCCTCGAAAAACAATTTTTGTTGGAGGAGTCCCTAGACCTTTAAGAGCTGGTGAGTATAATCTGTGGCTATTTTTTAAAGTAGGAGATTATTGGAAATAATTTGAACTGTGCCTACCTTTTTATAGTTATGGATGGGCAGATGTAGATATATACATGTAAAAATAGACGACTGTCGTGCTAGTTACAACCCCAGTACAATATTCATATATTCTTACATTTCTCTAGTAACTGTTTTCATCTGCTGTTGGCCATAAATCACTGTTCATCATTGAGATTTACTGGAAATTGTTACGTGTCTAAAGCTGTAGAAAAGATTGTGATCATATTAGCAAAACTGTAGTGTAAACTATGTCACGAAAGAGTTTGTTTTCAAAATAATGCTATGAAAATCTCTCTGCCATGCTTCTTCAGTATGTTGGAGCTCTATTTGTACTTGCTTGTCATTGTGCATTAGCTACTCTTCTACTAGTATCTACTACAGTTATTCTTGCTGGTACGGACAAGGGAAAAATATAGATGGTGAAGGGGTACTTGAAGGAGTAGGAATAGAAGAAAAAAGGAAGAAATTCAGAGAGCTAGCACCGTCTGTATGACGCAACACTATATGAGATCGCAGGACTTTCTAGACTCTTGTTGGAGTACATGAAGGAAAAATGTAATGTTTCTGTAGCTGTGGAATGGTTGATCTACAACCTGGACAGTCTGCTTTGCGAGATTCACTGCAGTAGCCTTTTACAACATTTTATGGTGGCCTAGTAAGTAGGTTGAAGTGAATGTTGGAAGTAGAAGCTAACATACAGTGGTTCAAATCCCATTTTCTGTTAGAATGGCTTCTGGACTTCATTAGTCTTCCATAGTTTGTAATGAATTTTATTCTTGCAGAAAGATGAGCTTTCAGATTGAATATGTAGGAGAACCAAGAAGTGATAGTGCAAATTTTGGGGTATAAAGAATCTTAATTTTTTCTATCTTAGACCTGCAATGCTCAAGCTTTTCTGTTATTTTACTTTTAAGATTGTACTTTTGACTGTAGTACAAGCTCTGTAAATGAGCATAAACACAATATGTTCCAACTGCAGTTTAATTTTCCTTTAAATTCAGTTCAAATACTCCAGATTACTGTGCTGAATATCTGTGATAAATTTAATGGATGCGTTCTTATGCTTCACTTTCAAATACCCTGTATATGTGAAAATGAAACTTTTATGGCATTGTGAAATAAGAATCGTGACTTCACAAAAGCAGTAAAAGTTTAGGAGACTTTTCAAACAGCTATCGAACCGATACCTTTATACCCTACTACAGAGTATACTAACTCTGAAAAAAGTTAGTATTTTCCACCTAAATGAACTGCAAAACTGAATTTGGTGTAAAATATTACTAGAGAATTGCTAAAATACTTGATCTGTAAAATTTGAGATTTTTGTTTCTGTGGACTTCAGTATGGTAAGCGTAGAACTGTAGAGATCATCAAGCTCATGTGTGGCTGATGAAAAGATGCTAACTACATCTTTAAATTCAAGTAGGACATAGAGCATTAGGACAGCCAGAGAACATGTACGAAGGAATTTCTGGCATGTGGATCTATTTTATACAGCTTACATTCCATGCCTGCCCAAAAAGTCTTTTCCTGTAATCCCCTGGAGAAAACTGCCCTCGAATTTCAGTTCCAGGTTATCAAGGACTGCAAGGACTTACAATTCCATTGTTCCTTGGGTGTATGTACCCACAGTGTGAAAGATCTGTCTGCTGAGTATTTCATAGCTCATTTAATACGTTTTTATATTTATTGTTATTACCGTTACATCAGTTGTTGCAAGATTAATTATTAAAATTAACTTTTCTAGTATTTTAAAATACAAGCATGTTATATAAAGTTTGTACTGTAAGAACCATTTAAATGAATATTATTTTGTTTCTTAATAGTGGAATTGGCTATGATCATGGACCGTCTCTATGGGGGAGTTTGTTATGCAGGAATTGATACTGACCCTGAGCTGAAATACCCAAAAGGTGCTGGACGTGTTGCTTTTTCCAATCAGCAGAGTTATATTGCTGCCATCAGTGCTCGGTTTGTTCAACTTCAGCATGGCGATATTGATAAACGAGTAAGTTGTACAGAAATCAGAAAAAATAAATTAATATGAGAGCGGTGATCTATAAAGGAACTTTTCAGAGTGTGGTATCGTTGCATTTGATTTGCTTTCATGTGAGCTTCTACATTTATTTTAGTATTCCTGTAACTGCCCCCGGACGAGCAACATGCATTCCACAGAGCAGCAGTTTGTTCCTTGGACATATGTTAAACCATATGTTCTTTCCATTCTGGAGTTCCTGGATTTGTTGTGTATGGGCAAAGGGCTTGAAAATCTTTTCCTCTCCCTTGTTCTAATGAAACTAAATACTGCGATAATTCCTCTGTCATTCATAGGAAACTAGTATTCATTGGTTTCAGATTAACTTTATATTTGCAGCTGCCCTTAATTTCAGCTTTAATTGTCAGTGCTCAGTGCTTCAGAAAATTAATCGAGCTCAACACCTGAAATACAAAATGTCTCATCGTTTCTGTTTGAGGGAGTCTTCTTAGTATTTACCAATGTACATTTCTGGTTGCTACAGATGCTTATTGCTAGCTAAAGCAAAACTAACTTTTAAGAAGACTAGTCAACTTCATTACTCCTAATTAGAAGTGTAAGAGTAGCAAGGAAAACTGGCATCTGAATTATGTCGGTTTTAAGTGTCACTAGTTTTGATGTCAAGAGCTACAGAGGTAGTCACTGGTATTAATAGATGTTCTTTTTTTTAAAAAAAAAAAGGTCTTAGCGGAAGAAGAGTTGAGTAAGTAAAGTAGTTCAAGGTCCAGTCTCCTCTACAGATCAAAGACATGGGAAAAAGAAAGTAGTACAGTTAACAAAAGTCTGCTGTAGGGAGGTAGCATGTGCTTCTATCCTTTCAAACAGAGAGAGTAATACAGCTTTACATCTGTCTCTCAGATAGCAGTTGCCTAGTGAGCTGAAATTCCCAAATGTGGTCCTTTCCAGAGGATGAGTGGGTCTGAATGTGGGTAGTGAACTAGGCTTCACATTAAGATGTGACGGCTACATTTTGCTGGTGGAATTCCTGTCCTTGTGACTTGGAGCTGACTGACTGATAGCTCTGCCTTTTGACTAATTACATAACAGGAAAAATGGCCTTGACACTGTAACTGTGTGAGAGGAAATAAAACTATTAATCATCTTGCATTTGAGTATTTGGACAAAATGGGAGTAAGGACCAGAGTCCAGAATTCCTTCCAAAGAAATGCTAAATGGGTCATTTAGCTTCAGAATCAGGTATAGTTTGGTGTGTTTCAGGAACCGTCTATAGCGCATTTGGCTGTGAAGTGACCTAACTTTAAAATTAGAGGTGAACAGTTGGGTTCCATCCAAACTAGTTCTCCCTCAAAGGTAAGAGACATGGACTTGAGCCGTGTAAACAGGCGACACTTTTATCTTGGTCTTCCTCTTCCCATGGGAGTGTCCTTTGCAGTAGAGGAGTATATGATAGACTGGCAGTGCCATCTCAAAAGAGAAAGGAAGGCATGAACCTGCCTTTGAAGGCTGCACTTTCAAGTAGGTTTGTCTGGTTTGGTTTTTTTTATGATAGGTCATCAGAGATTTCAAGGGCTGTTTGGATGCCGAGCAGGCATCTGAGATGGCAGTGCTTGCTGTTTGCAGAGAAAGGGATATAACTTGTCAATGTGTGATATAACACTGAAATGCTTCAAGGGGGATGGGCAGTAAATCTCCAGTAAAACAGTGGGCATATGTTGCAGGCCTCTTGGAGCTTAGATAGTGGGGGGAAAAAAAAAAACAAACCAAAATCTACCCCAAATGCGATTTCAGATAGCATTTGAGTTATATCCGTGAGACTTAATTTATAAAAACAGTAGTCAAATTATTTCTTCAATCACTATTACCAAAAAAAGACCAAAAAAAGGAAGAAACATCTTTTTTTATTATCTGTAGATAGCTGTTCATGGGCTGGAGAGGTTGGGGGAGTGAGGGAAGGAAGATCTAGGCTTTCTCTTTAAATAACTGAATTCTGACAGTTTCTTTTTTGATTGCTGTAATTTGTGTTCTTTCTTTAGTGTTGCTTTTGTAATTCTTGAAAATCAATTTTTTGACTCAAGTATTCTCTTAAATCTGGAATTTTGGCATTTTTATTAGCATCCTTAGTTTTTCTTATTTTAAAAATGCATGCTACTCCTGAGGTGTTTCACTTGCAAAATACAGCATTGACAAATCTGAGTATTTTAATAAATTTGTCTTTAAACCTTATAATGGGGAGGGTTTATGAACTTCTTTGTTTATTTCAGAGGGTTTTTAATCTTTATTTTTTAAATCGTGTTCTCTAATTAAATCATGTGGTCAGTCCTTATTGTTTATACAACCCAGTTATTTCATTACTGAGAACAGCCTCTTTTTAGGGAACACTTTAACTCTTAGCTGTTTCTGAAAGTATGAAAAGAGCTACTTTCAGAAATAGTTTTTTGCTCCATGGAGTTGATACACTAATGCCTTTTTAGGCTTTGAAAATACTCTGAAATCAGTATTAGTGCTGATTTATAGATGAACAAGCAATTTGTATAAATCTGTAAACCACTGTTTTTGTAAACGAGGAAGATACTTCTACTTCACGTACTGCCTGCGTCTGAGGTGTGTGTGTATGCTGGCCAATAAAAGCCATATATTACATATTTCACTTAAATCTTAGTGGCAGGCTGTTCTCCTACCCTTTACCTTAGCATAGCCTTTCTATACTGGTTATATCCAGTTTCTGTAGGTCTACTGTCCTTTCACATTCTTTTCATAACCAGTTTTGTCTGTGTAAAAGTCTTTTTTCATTGCTAAATTTTGCAGTTCACCTGTTTATCCTTCTGAACTTTTGTTCAAAGTATTTATAATACTTTTTTTGGACATACCTTTTCCTACCTTAATTGGAAATCTTAGTGTCACAGTCACTTAACAAACACTGTCTGTGATGTTAACTTCTTCCTTACCTAAGTACTCTGCAGCTTCTCTCCGGTTCTTTTGATGTGTACATATGTTTAGTTTCTCGTAACAGATGTTTTTCTTCTAGTAAAGTGCTCCTCATCCTGTTTTATCATATATGAAAGCTCAGCTCCAAACATTTCCTTAAAACTCATTTGGCGTTTCGGCTCCAAACAATTCCTTAAAATGTTGTTAACTTTCATGTGCCAGCAGTCTGCATCCACTTCATGCAATACTTCCATTCCCCAAAGAGTTTCTTTAACAAATTTGAAATCATCTTCATACTGATCTTGGAACATTAATGCACCAAAGCTTGAAACATATGCTGCTTCATGCTTTCAGTAAATTTGAACGACAAACACTGTTGCTGCATAAGGTACCTGTTTATTGGAAAGTTTGAGTGTTGTTTGTGATAAGGCAGGTCATTGTAGTGAAATAAGAAGTAGAACTTGTACTGAATACAGATTACTGGAAGAAGCATACTCTTTTTCAAACATAGATGTGTTTGACACATCAAGTATCACCTCTGCTTCTGAAGCTAAGAGCATGAAGACTCTTCTGCTGTAAAACTTTTGGGTGGGTAGCTGTATGTGTAGATTTTTTTCTTCTGGAGTCACAATGCAAAAAATAGCATTTCAAAGTTCTTATTGTTTCAAATATATTCTGTCTTGAGTACAGTACATAAAGTTGATGACTATATGTAGCAGTCTTCTCAGGTAATAGTATCTCAGAAAAACATGTCTTACAGCAGTGAGTTTTAGTATGAACTGGAATAACTCTTTTTGCCAACAAAAGGCAGAAAATACCATCTTTAAAAGTGAGGAAAATGTGGAAGACAACAATGCATTCCTTAATGATGGAATAAACTCATTTTGTGTTTTATTATGAAGTTGTTCTTCCTGTCTGATCGCAGTCTGTAACAGTTCAGTTACGCGAAGACATAATGCAAATTTACCGCTGGACTCCTGCCACTTTTCCACTCTGGCAGTCAGATGAGTTTGGGAGAAAGTAACTGTGTAAGACAGGTGTTTGTAGCAGTCTGTAGACTTGCAAAGTGGTCTTTTAAAAATATTTTCAGAAATCCATTAAATACAAATTTTTGTACAGCTCAAAGCCACAAAAAGGGAAGGTAATAGATGATGAAAATCTGTTGCTCCAAATTTGACCGTATTTTAGAAATAGAGAGTGAATTTACAGGGATCAGGAGTGCTAAAAGGTATGTATTCCAGCCTGCAGAAAGTACTTTTAATTTGCACACAAAAGTAGTACATGCAGCAATTTACTTTCTAAAAAAGGTTAATGTATAAATGATTACATTCTTGTGTGTTCAGTTATTTTTTGCTAAACAGTATAGAATTGGATGTCACTTTGGGGTACATTCAGAGCTGATGAGATTAGTTACGAGACCTTTGGACTTGTTCACTTGTCTTCTACACATACTTCCATTTTATCATTTGCCAAGAACATCTTTCCAGAATAAATTAAGGGGAGGTTCTGATGTAACTATTACATACATAGTGTACCTCTAAAGATCTGCCTTGAAGTGTTCTGCTTACTGTATGGGTAGGTCTGTAGCTGATAAAAGATAAAGAGTAATAACTGATCAGTTAGATAGATAAAGGCATTAATATGTCTCATTTCAGACTTCTGTTGTTTTGGGGTTGGTTTGGGTTTTTTTAAACCAGAAAACACTGAATGCCCTCGTATAACTTTATGTAGGAATAGGTATTAACTGGAATTGTTTCTGTTTTACTCCAACAGGTGGAGGTAAAGCCATATGTGTTGGATGACCAGATGTGTGACGAATGCCAGGGTGCACGATGCGGTGGAAAGTTTGCTCCGTTCTTTTGTGCCAATGTCACTTGCCTGCAGTATTACTGTGAGTTTTGTTGGGCAAATATCCACTCTCGTGCAGGACGTGAATTCCATAAGCCATTGGTAAAGGAGGGGGCTGACCGCCCACGTCAGATCCACTTCCGC